GATAGGCATTAGGCGAAATATCAAAATATCGTTGTTCGTGGGTGTATTGGAACAAACTGATGAGTTTTGTAAGATAAATGTTTGAAGTAAATTGAAAAAAATAAACTGGAAATAATAAAATCAATTTTTATGGACAATATTGTTTTGCAAACAACCTACTCAGTATTGGTTTTTCCAGCGATTAAAGTATAAACCACAGCGCTTTCAAAGACATGGTGACAATCTATTGGTGGTCGTCAGATTCTAATAGCGTTAACTAGGAGTTGATTTTAATAAGATTGGGTTAGCATTTTACATGTAAAATGAAAAATAAAGAAACTTTATATAGCACCCACAATGAGAAGGATCAGTTTTAGTCTGTTCATTACGGCTTACATGCAAAAATACCCTTATATAAAAAACCATATTACAAAGGGCTATATTTTGATATTTTTGATAATATCAATTATTTGACAGAATTTTTATGGGTAAATGTACTACAGAAAAATCAAATAAAAAAATCTTTACATTCTTTCAATTTACCGGTAATATTTATTTAGCAAATTTCCCATTTTGTTGTATTTCACATAAGTAAGTCAATCTTTTTATTTAATATTGAAATCCATAATTTGTTTTATGCCTAAGTGCACTTCAATGCATAACTTGAGTTACTATTTTGTTGCTATACAATTTATTGACGTATAAAATTGAGGAAAGTTGCTTATGCGTCACTTTTAGTTCTACATAAATAATTACAAATAACATCGTTGTCGGATCTGCTTTAATATTCATCATCTGAGATTCAATATAACTAAAACGTGAATTCAACTGTAATAATTATAATTTAGTTGATTGTCCGCCAAATTGATATGGACAACGATACCTCTTGGGAGCACCCTCTATCATTAGTTTGATGTATTGTTAGTGGCTGTAGAATGACCTTTGTTACTAACAGTCACTGATTAGCTGTATTGTTCTTGTTGTGATAATTTGATTTATACATTTCAACTGACAAGAATAAATTGCTTATACGTAATTTGTAAATGTATTCCATTATTTTGACAAACTCGAAATGTCTTTTTATTTCTTTTTGGAAAAAGAAACACAATGGAAAATTTGATGCCAAATTAGAAAATTTAGTTTGAGTGAGCTTGTTTATAGACAGTGGCTTCTTGATAGATGCAATATCTTAGAAGAATTCAACATTTAGACAGTGTGAAAACGGTGAACGTTTTATTTTTTTTTAGCTCACCATAGCCGAAGGCTCAGGGTGAGCTATTAGTATCAAAGGGGGATGCTCCGACGTCCGTCGTCCGTCGTCATGCGTCACCTATCGTCTTCTTCTCTCGAAACTTTACTAATTCAGATTTACTTCAAATTTGGTCTGAAGCATTTTGTGACAGTCACACTTGAATTTGCTCATGTCATTACCAATTGGCCCCTTTTAAAGGGTTCAGCAGAGCTAAAATAGAAAAACCCCTTAAAACATCTTCTTTGTACAGAACTAATTGATGGATGATCCATCAAACTTTGTCTGTAGCATTCTTGGGTAGTATTTTATCAAAGTTTGCTCATATTAATAATGATTGGCCCCCTTTTAGGGTCTCTAAGGGCTAAAAATAGAAAAACCCTTTAAACATCTTCTTTCTACAGAACTAATAGAATTGGTAATGATCACCAAAACTTTGTCTGTAGCATTCTTGGGTAGTCTTTTATCAAGTTTGCTCATATGAATTTGATTGCCCTCTTTTAGGGGCCGCTATAGCTAAAAATAGAAAATCCTTTAAACGTCTACTTCTACAGAACTAATGGATGGATGATCACCAAACTTTGTCTGTAGCATTCTTAGGTAGTTTTTTTTATCAAGTTTGCTAATATTATTTTGATTGGCCCCTTTTAGGGGTCTCTAGGGTTAAAAATAGAAAAACCTTTAAACATTTTCTCCTACAGAACTAATTGATGGATGATCACCAAACTTTGTCTTTAGCATTCTGGGTAGTCTTTTATCAAGTTTGCTAATATTATTTTGATTGGCCCCTTTTAGGGGTCTCTAGACTAAAAATAGAAAAACCTTTAATAAAAAATCTTCTCCTACAGAACTAATGGATGAATGATCACCAAACTTTGTCGGTAGCATTCTCGGGTAGTGTTTTATCAAGTTTGCTCATATTAATTTGATTGGCCCCTTTTAGGGGCCGCAAAAGCTAAAAATAGAAATACCTTTATATGTCTATTTCTAGAGAACTGATTGATGGATAATCACCAAACTTTATCTGTAGCATTCTTGGGTAGTCATTTAGTTTAAACATATTTTATATCATTAAATACATGTTTACAAACATATCATATAAATAATAAGTATATATTAAAATGCAAATGGGTTGGGCAACAAGTTCTTACAACATTAGATTAAGCCCTTCCCAGGGTAGTCTTTTAATCAGTTTGCTAATATTATTTTGATTGGCCCCTTTTAGGGACCGCAAAAGCTAATAAGAAATACCTTTAAATGTCTTTTCTACAGAACTAATTGATGGAATATCACCAAACTTTGTCTTTAGCATTCTTGGGAAGTCCTTTATCAAATTTGCTCATATTAATTTGGTTAGCCTCTTTTAGGGGTCTCTATAGCTATAAATAGAAAAACCGTTAAATGTCTATTTCTAGAGAACTGATTGATGGATGATCACCAAACTTTGTTTGTAGCATTTTTGGGTAGTTTTTTTACCAAGTTTGCTCATATAAATTTGATGAGCCCCTTTGAGAGGTCTATATAGCTAAAAATAGAAATACTGTGAAATGTCTATTTCTAGAGAACTAATTGATGGATGATCACCAAACTTTGTCTGTAACATTTTTGGGTAGTCTTTTATCAAGTTTGCTTATATGAATTTGATTGGCCCCTTTTAGGGGCCGCTTAAGCTAAAAATAGAAATACCTTTAAATGTCTATTTCTACAGAACTAATTGATGAATGATCACCAAACTTTGTCTGTAGCATTTTGGTAATCTTTTATCAAGTTTGCTCATATGAAATTGATTGGCCCCTTTTAGGGGCAGCTACAGCTAAAATAGAAAAACCTTTAAACATCTTCTTCTTCAGAACCAATTGATGGATGATCACCAAACTTTGTCTGTAGCATTCTTGGGTACTCTTTTATCAAATAGAGTACTGATATTAATTTGATTAGCCCCTTTTAGGGGCCACTAAAGCTAAAAATAGAAAAAACCTTCGAAAATCATTTCCTACTGAAATAATTGATAGATGATCACCAAACTCTGTAGCATTCTTAGGTAGTCTTTTATCAAGTTGCTCATATTAATTTGATTAGCCCCGTTTAAGCTAAAGCTTTAATGCCCCAGGTCATAGAATTTCTTCAAATTATTGTTTAAACATATTCTATGCTCAAATTCAATATTAGAATATATTGACATTCCAACACTGAAAAGCAGTTGTTTCTGGTGAGCGACTCAGGGCCATCATGGCCCTCTTGTATAATTTAGAAACTTAAGCATATGTATGAACATAGCCCTTAATACAATGACATTTAAACACGATACAAATTTCAGTAATCACGTTATCAAACAGTAATTAACATAGTATAAAATATGATATGTCAACAAAAATACATACTCTACTTATCTACCTTTGAGTTAGAGCTCCACTTAATGATGTTGACCTTTTACATTTTTTACATATGTTGAGAAGCAATTGTTACATTAAAGCTAATACTATCTCAGTTCACAACAGTCAATGTCGTTGACAGACTACACTTATTGTATGTGAAAGGTCGTTATATTTGGAATCTTTCTTTGTTATTATAAGTTAAATGGATTCCAGTGAGGTTTTTTTTTTTGACATGATGGGTCTAGACATAAATTTCGAGATAAATATTCTTTTTGACGTAGATAAAGACCAACAACTTGTATGCAAAATTTCAGATCATTCGCTCTTTCCCTTTTTCTGTAATAATAACCTAAATTTTGAAAAATGACCCGAAACTGAAATGCGTTTCAAACCAGGTTCAAATAGCTAACATGATTTTTAATTTATTTCTGGGTATATTTCTAAATTAAATTTTGCGTATTTTCGTTTTCAGTGTTCTAGCTGATACATGTAATAAAAGCAAATTTGTTGTTTTTAGGCTTTTGGACCTCAGTGGAGGTACTTTAAGAATTACTTGTTAAAACTATTATCACACTTTTCTCCAAATACCATAATGGCGGACTCTCATTAAAATTCAATCGTGCTTTAAAACAAAATGTATATGTTTATCATTAAGGGCTATCTTTAATGTGGATTAATTTAATACACATGTAGGGAAAAAAACTGTGCTAGCAGTGGAAAAGATTTTGGCCTTAGTGTTTTTGTGGCTATAACAGTTTTCAAAATTATTTTGGTTTTCATTTTGCCTATTTACAGTATGTGTGACCTCTCCAGAGTTACGTATGCCCTGTACTTCATTTAAGTTGTTGTACGTTGTTGTCCCCTTCAGGATCGCCAGGCCCCCAAAAAGAAAACAGTTTAGCAATTCTGAATACTGATGAACCAGAGCTAGGGAACATACACTGTTCAACAAACAATCACCTGTGGTGAACAGACAAACCCAAGCAAACTATATTCATTTTTGATTTCATTGCTCATGAACGACCCACATTTTCTGAATTGTTTGACGGCACAAGTCAAAACAAGTTTCTGCTTCTTCTAACAATTATTTAATTTCGAGTTCGTGTTGCTTGTCATTATTTAGCAGGTTTTTATGTCCCATTTTGCACGTTCGGCAGAAAGTTAACAGGCATGCCAGCTCTTATCGTTATTGGATAAACAATAACTACAGCCTAAATCTCTCAAGAGACAATTATTGGAGACTGTGTAGTGACATGGAAAAATCTTGCACCACTGGAAAACGATTCTGACGCAACATATTTGCATCAGTTGTTCTCAATATGATCCCTTGACTATTGACTTGATGTATGGATAATTGGCGTATTTGTTTAGAATATCAGCATGGTGAACGAAGACACGAACCATTGCCGTCATGATATATGGATATATTTAAAATGTTTATCAACAAGGTTATTGACCGTTGCATAGGAGGATTAAATGATTTACATTATACTTAATGATATATTATGTGATTTAGTTAACGTATGTCTATATCAAAAATGTTTTATATCAATTTATGACAGAAATATAACGCCAACTGATATGAAAAGGTTACCTGACCTGTTAGTAGGGATTTTTATACTTTTTGGAATCCTTGCACGAGGTGAGTTGCGCTTGTAATTAGTATATTTAGTAAAATAGGAAGTTTATTTTTTATGTAAAAAGGTAAATCGTTTAAGATGTAGCATGCTTGTTAAATCCAAATATATTTATCAAATAAAAAACACGATTAATTTTCATTGAAGAAAGGATGTTTTTGTCACGAGTATATTTACATAGATAAAGCATAGTACAAATGATGATATCTTTTAAAAATATTTTACACATTAGGTAAAAGGAATAAACGTGTTTATTTAGAGATTTTGTTTACGTTTCTTTTATAACATGTTCATCATTCACACGACTGTGTTTTTTTTTACAGATTTAGTATATTTTTTAACACTTGAAGTTGTTGACTTTTAAGAGGACAATGACATTTGAAAACGATAACATTTATACAGGACTTTTTGTCTTTTCATACACATACATATATGTCAATATTGATCATTGATATAGAAACATGTTTTTAATTATTTTATTTTTTCATATATATGTAAATATATTATACAGGATTATGTTTGCAATGTTGGAAGTGTATTTCGGATGACTGTGATACGGATCCTAAACTTAATATACATGCAGTAAAAGTAGAATGTAAATATGGAGAACAATGTATGGTAATAGCTTTCGTTACTCGTACATCATTATAGCAGCAATTGAATCCGATTTTTAATTATTGTTATTACTTTACTCACTTGATATTTTATAGTCTTAATTGTACATTATTCGGATTTCTAACAGTTTTCAACCATATTTCTGTCGATAAAATGTGTAGCAATTGATATAAATCATAAGATATATTTCTATATTTCGTTTTATTGTTTAAGATAATTTTAATACAGATCGAGTGACAACCAGTTATATGTTTGAAAGTTGATTTTTATTTATTTGATAATTGTAGTGATAATTGTAGTGATAATTTTATTTTCAGAAGGTACGTTATAAGATGTTTGACAATGTTACACATTATGATACTGTTATACGAACATGTACGCAAAATAAATGTATAACTTCATCACGTGACGAGTTTCTCAAATGTCTATCAACACCAAGACTATATATGATTGATGGATGCTCTTTACGTTCATGTTGTAGAGACAGAGACTTGTGTAACTCAGGATGGAGTCCATCTTTGATGCCATTAATCTGTGTGACTTTAGTTGTGCTTCATTCATTACCATTGATATAATATGAAACAGTGTTAGGATTTATTTGTTTTTACGCTGATCCATAATTCATTATCATTAAATACTCTTTACTAACAAACTTTTTTGCATAAAACATCAATTTTAACATATTATTGGCTACCAATTGTTCAAATAGACTTATCAATTAAATTGATACAATACGAGTATATTTATGTTTTCTTATTATTATGACGACATTGTATTGTGATACATTAAATAAGATGTTTTGTTAAAAAATATTTGTGTGTTTTCATATGGATTTTATTTTATGAAATATTCGTCATTTTAACCAATTTATATTTTTACGTCAGCTTATAAATCTATTTTAGCATTCTTACTATATTAGATTATAATCGCTAATATGTATTTGTATGATATTACTTATATGAGTTTAGAGTATTGTTTTGGGAGTTTTCACAATAAATTATGATTCACATTTTCATGATATATTTGTCATGTTAATTATCTTATATATTTCCATAATTTGTAACGTATCGAGCTGCCGACAAATGACTACGCATTATACTTTCAAAGACTAAATTGTATTAAATTGTTTTATTAATCATTAATAACTAACTATTATACAATATCTTGAAACGTAATATTCACAAAATAAGTTGTTTAAATACATATGAATGAAAACGCACGAGAATACAAATACTCTTTGACATTGGCAAAGAAATGCAAGAAATAATTTTACTTGTATTATTTACAGGCATTATCTGCTTTGTTCCAACAAAATATGATTGGTATATGAACTATAAAATGTTTATCACTCTCCTATTTAATTTGAAAGATCTTTTATAAACTTAAGTAATTTGATTATTTTCATTATTCAATTTCGATGTCAGTGTTAATTGTATACTAAAAGATGCATGCAGTTTTTGCGAATGTCAACAATACATAAGTAAGTGTATGAGTTTATTTTCAACAAGAGCGTTATTGACTGGCCTTGACATTTAAAATATTAATTATGAAGCGCTGATAACATAAATGGCGAAAGAATACAAATTATTTCATAATATGGGATTCACCCCAGTTTATGACGTTGGTAATCTGTGAAAGTCATTATATATTGCTTTAGTTGTTATGTATTTCTCGCGTTTAGAATGACATTTCATGTTACAGATTCCAAAGCTTATAAACTATCAGCTGAAAATAATTTATGACATATAGACTCGTAATTGAAGAACTGCCTATAATGCCACATCCTTATAAAAGCAAAGGAAAAAATATTATCAAACCGTGCTTGATTTAAGAGAGTTATTAAAAAATCAAATTTGTGTGAAGAAAAATCAGATTTGTGAAAACAATTTAGATTCTCATTGTAGAATTTTTCCTTCTCGAACATTATTTCGATAGACACAAATAATTCATACATTGTTTATCAATTAAACAAGTTCATTAATCATAAATGTATAATAAAATTTCTAGTAATAAAGAAGAACAATTTAAAATAAGCTCCACATGGCAAAGTTGAAATGTTGAGGCCTTATTTGGATTGAGTCATTAATGAACGGTAGAGGTTCAAGCTACTGTCAAAACTTTCTAATTCCGGCTTAAGCAGAATTCAACATTTCATTAGAATGTAGTAAAACTCAAAGTTAAGCAGCATCCACAAATATGATAATACACTGGTTAAAACATTTTATATGTAATAGTAAGAGCATCGAAACATGAGGCTATCTGATTTGTACGAGGAGGCGTAACCTCCGAGTATAAATCAGATTTCCGAGTGTTTTGATCTTCTTGCTTCTTTTGTATCAAAGTTAAACATAAAAACACGTTCCCTGTAGTCACAATATGAGACCCCGGCAAAAAGATACAAATAAACGAACTTCTGAATATGATATTTCTGTCGCTTTCCCTTTCTCTGCCGTCACATTATGTTAACTCCAGCAAAAATGGGTCAATCAATGGGCATGCTCTGGAGTGCGGGTAACTAATACCTGCACTCCAGTTAACGCACTGTGCATGTTTATGTATACGATTTAACTCTGACACATTTTCAACAGAAAGGTCCCCAAACTATAATACAATTATTGTTACATGTTCGTGCCTTACACAGTAAATGACGCTTGTGTTTTGTTACTTAAAGAAAGCGTTTGCCCTAAGCACGTTAAAAATTGGCAAAGATGAATATTATATCAAATACGAAAGACTAATTACAGAATATATTGACTCATTCTTCTCGTGTTTGTTAATAAGGAGACAGAGACTAATTGATGAGATCAATAAATTTACCGTAACTGATATCTACAAAGGTCATACGAGAATACAAAATACAACAAACAAGTAATAGAGAGCTTTGCCGCGTTATGCCAAGTGCTGCGTCAGTTTCCATTGTTTTAGAAACATATTAACTGTTAGAAGAATTATTATTGGCCTAAATGGAATCGTAAATGACGAAGGTGAAGCGGATTGGTGAAAGATACAAAAGAGTAATCAGTCATGTATCACATGTATCACGTTAATCTCATGTTTTGTAACTGATGAATTATTGCAACTAATATGTGTTATACGTTAAAAAGTAACACTTTATCGATAAATTTAGTGGTTTTTAAATCTTGACCTGACCAGAACTTGTGTTATATGAAGTACCAAAGCCTAATTATAGTTAAAAGCCACACTCTTGATTGACGGAAATCATAAATCCTCCATTCTGTGCACCTTCATGTTGCATTTGACTTAATGAATTTAATTTTTTTCCTTATGTGTATGATCATAAAGATATCTTTCTTCCTTTTTAATATTAAATATCATGGGCATTATTTATTGAGAAATGTTTGTATGTTTATATCATATCCAAAATAGATATCATGGAGAAAAATTTGTGAACCGTCATAGCATTTATTTAAAAACATTAGCGCATGCAGATGAATTTATTTAAACATATTCATTATAGCGTCTGCTCTAACGCCAAGAGTTAATGTGCTACTCTTACAATTTCTTTTATTAAGGCGCCTGTTGCCTAATGGTATAGTTGTCTGTCTCTGAACGCAACGATAATTGTTTGAAGTTTTACCCAGGTTATCTCATAACTACTTATTTGTTTCAGAAAAGCTAGCCTGCTTTTGGTTCAAATAAGGACAACCTTTCATTATAATCGAGCTAACATTTGTTTTAACCAAGAATGCCAAAACAACATTAAGTGATGATATTGCTCAAATCTGAATGCATTATTAAATAATATTTCATATATAAAATAATAATGCTCGTATTTGTTCTGTTCCTATAACGATACCGCTTGACCGGTATGATATGAAATTTGTATGTGTTTAAAATTATTTTATATAACGTTGGGAACATTATTTTCTACTTATTTTACATGTTTTAATACATATAAAAACAGAATAATATTAAATTGGCAAAATCCATAAAATCCATTAATGTAGATGCATGCAATTTATTGTAATTGTTAACGGTGCGTGAGCAAGTATTCAAATAACCTGAAACGAGAGCGTCATTGAATGACCTTAGCATTTAAAATGTAACATTAAAAGCGACTGTGTATGTATTATTTCACAGCATGGGCTATTTCTTCACCCCGGTTTATGACTTTGCCAATCAGTGTAAAAGGTCATTATACAGTGGCGCAACTGTTATAATAGCATTTTGCATGTATTTTTAATTTAATATATAGAACTACAAGTTATGATGTGGATTTCAAAGATTAAAAGCTATCAGGTTCACATAAATCGTGCTATTTATGCAAATCCTCCAGGTTTCTGGGGAGTGAATACATCTTAAAAGTAGTTATATTTTGAGGAAATATTCACAATTATGCTTGTATTTTATTGTTACGATATAATTATTAATTGATTTTACAATGTAGTTCTTAATATCTTTCATAGCAAAATTTAAATGCTTAAGAAAAAGTACACAGCATCGTGGGCCTCTTATCATTCAAGTGACTAATCCGTCACCTCGCAAACCGTACAAAAGCTGGAGAATCAAGCACGTTCATTGTTCAACATAACATAACGCACTTTGCTACATCAAAATGTTTACGACTCCTCTTTTTAGGATACAACATAATATTGCTAAAATGTTGTCAGCTTATTTAAGGAACGGTTTTTAAAATATACATGTACACGACTTTACTCTAGCGGGCTGATAGAAAGATAATATTATCCGCTCAGGCGGTGACTATACATTTTTGGGACCACTAAATTCATCCAGAATAGCATGTTTAATTGTTATTTCAATGCCTGCTGTTATTCAATAAAGTGAAAAAATTATGCAGTAATATATACACATGATCTGTTTTCTGCTCAGGATACGGCTTGGTCTTCCACCTTTTTTGTGTGTTTTTCCTTTTCGTACATCGAATACTTAAGACCTATAAATATGTCTTGAGAATAAATAAGGATTGTAACAAAGTAATTTTTCCTTGTCTGACTTTGATGGCTATAATGTCCCTTTCTTTGCTGATACGACATAATAAAAACTGGCATGGAAAATCATATCATTGAATTAACAACTCTCTAGAGAGACTAGAGATTGTCCAGTAACACATATAACGATTCTGACATGAAATTCTCGTGCAAGCTATCATTCTTTATCCATCGGACTATTGGCGTTGGACATACGAGGATTGATCAAGAAGTTCTCGGCCCGATGTACGAGGTATTCTGATATAACTAATTTAAGTAATACGAGGGTTGATCAAAAAGTTCTTGGCCCGATGTACTTCCGGTAGTCATAGAACCCAACTAATGGTCTTGCGTTTCAATGTAATTGCCCTCTACATTAATGTACTTTGCCCACCAGTGCTCCGAATTTCTTAAAACCTTTAAAATAGAACTCTCTATTTTGATCCTCAAAGAACTCATTGACTACCTCCATGACACCTTCATTGCTTCCGAAACGTCTACCACGAAGTTTGGTTTTCAGTTTCGGAAACAGGTAGAAGTCAGAGGGGGTCAATTCCATAGAATATGGGGGATGGGGAAGAATATCAAAGCTGCAGTCAGTTGCTGCAGCCATCGCAACTTGGGATGTGTGAGCTGGCTCATTGTCGTTCAGGAGCAGAACGCCTTGAGTCAGTTGAACCTCCTTTCACACACGATTTCCTGACGCAGACGTCTCAATTCGTCAGCATAGTACGTACGGTTCATGGTGCGACATTGCTCAAGATAGTCAATCATGATTA